TAATAGCTTTATATCCATTAAAATAGCCTTTAATGGTAAGAAGTACAATGTTGTATCCATTTATAGACCACCTGAGAGATGTTCTGCACTAGTTGATGATTTCCCCTAAAATCTAAGAATACTGTATCAACAGGTAATATCAATTTTGATTTAAGAAATTGGCGTGATAATTCTATTACAAATTATAAAAATATTGTCGAGTTCAGTGGATATTTCTTTTGCCACCATGTTATCTATGATTTTTCTCAACGCAATTTTTCTGAGCATTTAGACTTAACAATAGAAATAAAAGCAAATATGCCAAAAACAGAAATAAAAATTAGCTGTACAAAGTAATTAGTGAAATGAAGTTCAATTTAACTATCAAAGGTATGTAAATAACATTGCTAATGAAATAATATATAAAAGCCAAAAAGCTATTAATAGCGCAACCATTATTGCCAAATCGAAAAGTAGTAAAAAATATTTATGCACCCTGGATATATGATAATTGTATTAATTTAATGGGAATAAAAAATTTTTGGTTTCGGAAATACGTAAAAAATCGTAATTCTGAATATCTGGAATTTAAGTATAAATACTGGGGACATGGATTCACTAATATAAAAAGAAAATGTAGAGAGAAGTATGGAAAATCAATTTGAAAAAGCAGTAGAAGATCCAAGAAAAAATTGGAACTTTATTAAAGAAAATTAAACTGCAACAACGACAATAACAGAAAGTTTTTGCTAACATAGATAGCGCAGATGAAAAAAATGCAAAAGTAGAAAATTTTAATATATACTACTGCAGTATAGGTAAACAAAAATGGCAAAAGATTGTGAATTTATCTACTGTCCTAAGATAAGAAAACTGCAGTACTTCAACTCTCAAGTCATCAATAAACACGAAATTCTGAAATTAATTAATTTCTTGTTCAGTTCTGCTACAAAAGATCTATGGGATATGTCAACAATTCTGCTGAAAAATGCAAGAATGAGTTAGCTGACAAGAAAATGTGTGTTGTAAACGCTTCTCTAAGTCAATTCAAAATCCCTGAGATAATTAAAAATAATTTCAGACCGATTTCTATATGCACTACTATTAGCAAAATAATTGAAACATTTGTTAACATGCAACTAGTGAAGTACTTGAGCAATGCCAAATTGACTCTGAGTAAGCATATAGATTTAAAAAAAAATTAATACCCAAGCAGCCCTATTTAATGTGATATCCGAAATACAACCCAGAATTTATAAAAATACGAGAAAAAATAGAGTTGAGTTTGTGAACTCTGTGATACACGTAGGAATTTGTTATCCTGTGTGAGAATGAATATGCCATAGCTGACATTGGGACAGACTTTAAGTAACCGTATTATCATATTAACTTATGCAAAATTTCAGTACTGTGTTTTCAATATTTTCTAAGTTATGAAAAAAATTACTATTGAAGTTGTCTGACAGCTACCACAAGGAGTCAAGAAATTTCAACGATTTTTATCACACATAACAGCCCTAAAAATATACTTGTTTTCACGAAATTTATATATTATAACTGCAATAATTTCTAAGATAATGTCAAATAACTTTTCCAGTTGTATGGCAGTTACCAGAAGGAACCCAGCAATTTCAACGACTTTTATCAAACACATTGGCTAATATATTTACTTGTGCGAAATTTCAATACCACAGCTTTTATAGTTTCTGAGATACAATCAAATAAATTTAGAAGTTGTATGGCAGGTACCCGAAGCAGTACCTCGATCACAGCCAATTTAAATAGGGTTCTGGCATTTACTAAAATAAATTAATTGTGAAAATTTGGTGAACTTAGCTCAAGTTTTTAAGTTATCGTTGGGATGGACGAACGAACGGACGGACAGACAAACAAAGCTAAATCGATTTGGAATTCGACGCTGATCGAAAACATATATGTGAGCCTATATCTCAGAATCTTATTTCTTAGCGTTACAAACGGTAACATACGTTCTTATACCCTTCGAACATACGTTCGTATTGGTATAAAAAAGACTACTGCGATTTTCTTTGATTTGAAAAAAGCTATAGTACTATATGTAATGGGAATAATAGCACTGAGTTTAATTAGTTTAAAAGTTTTTTTAGTAAGCGAAAACAATTTTCTGAGTGTGATAAATTAAAAGCACACTTGGCGATGAGGACTGCGGCATAATACAAGGCAGTTCATTTGGTATTCCTAAAATACATGAAATACCAATTCAAGTAATATGTTGCTTTCAAGCCCTATACTAGCTCTTTCAGAAACTGTTCATTTGAAGCCTCTATCTTTTTAACCAAAAAAGCTTGGTCAAATAAAAATTCGTAAAATCCCTGTATCTCGAAAACAGTTGAGTTTTGACAACTATTTCACGACAAAAATTTTACCTATTTTTGATGCCCTAGACAATGATATACAATATTGTACTCTTTACTGAATCATCCTGTATATGTGATTGTATCAAAAGTATTCATTTTGGGTATGACATATCATACAAAATTAACAAACTCATAAATATCTAATGTACATTTTCTCAAATTTGAAAAAATACACCAAAATCACGAGCATTCAAACACCCAATAGATAAAACATCAAAAACTTAAACGAGGAAATAAGTTTCGACAATGTAAACGAAAATTATTTCTCCTCGTTAAATGAAGTTTCAGAACTACGGTTATACAAACTTGAATTGAGTTCCTTAATAAAAATATGGAATTAGTGCAAGTAACTCTGTACAATATGTACATGAATTTAAAAAAATCTGATGTGGTCAGCACATAACCGACCGCATTGTGTATTACCTAGTTAAATGAAAGTGTTACAGAATATTATAAAAATGTCTGTTAAATACTTCTTTCCAATTTTTAGGACATTAGTAAGCTTATAGTTAATATACCTAGAAAAATGTAAATTTGGCTCCTAGTAGAGTTTCGCTTTGTGCTACCCGAATTCCCTGAAATGCTCGCCAGTTAGTTTCGGTAACAACCAGAACTCAAATATCAAATATCAAGAAATTCCATCAATTTGTTCTGTGGATATGGTGAAAAATGTAAAATCGGCCCGCAGATCAGTTTTCGAGCCCTGATCTTTCCAAAAAATTTATATGTTCATTGCTTTAATATGAGGAATTCATATATTAAATTTCAATGAAATCGGTTGATTATTTCTCTTTATATACACAAAATTGTGTATTTGGCCCTTAGTAAACGTCTAGTTGCCGATGCCTGATCTTTCCAAAAAATTTATATGTTCATTGTTTTAATACGAGAAATTCAAATATTAAATTTCAATGAAATCGGTCAATTATTTCTCTTTATACACACAAAAATGTATATTTGGCCTGTAGTAAACGTTTAGTTGCCGATGCCTGATTTGTTCCAAAAGCTACGAATTTTTGCGGACGGTCAAGCTGAACTTATATATAAAATTTCAAGTAAATCGGTTGAATATTGTCTTCAAAATGTTCAAAAATGTAAAACAGGCCCGCTAAAAAGTGCAGTTTCTGAGGCCTGATATATACCAAAAGTTGATCAATCCGTGCCATGGTGGAAATAAACTTACATATAAAATTTCCTCAAAATCGGTTCAGCCGAACTTGAGATACACGCGTGCATACACAGACCGACAGACCGACAGGTTGCTAAAAATAGTTTATTTACACTTCGCTACTATGGAGAAGTACGTTCCCACCGAAAACTCGATATGCAAAAATTTGTTGCCATTACATAACCTACCTATTGTTTACACAATACGGTCGGTAAAAATGTGTATTTTTTAAATTGGGGCTTTTTATACCCGTACGAACGTATGTTCGAAGGGTATACTAAATTTGGCTTACCGTTTGTAACGCTAAGAAATAACGGTCTTAGATATAGACTCAAGTGTATGTTTTTGATCAGCGTCAAATTCTGAGTTGATTTAGCTTTGTCTGTCCGTCCGTCCGTCCGTCCGTCCGAACGATAACTCAAAAACTAATTGAGCTAAGTTCACCAAATTTTCACAAATGATTTATTGTAGTAAGTGTCAGAACGCTATTTAAATTGGACATGATCGGAGTACCGGTTCGGGTAGCTGCCATACAACTTCAAAATTTATTTGGCTATATCTCAGAAACTATAAAAGTTATGGTATTGAAATTTCACACAAACGAATATATTAATAGGGCTAATGTGTCTCATGAAAGTTGTTAAAATTACTTGGCTCCTTCTGGTACCTGCCATACAACTTCAAAAGTTATTTGCCTATATCTCAGAAACTAAATAAGCTATGGTATTGAAATTTCATAGAAACGAATATATTAGTAGGGCCAATGTGTCCCACAAAAGTTGTTGAAATTACTTGACTCCTTCTGGTACCTGCCATGCAACTTCAAAAGTTATTTGGCTATATCTGAGAAACTATAAAAGCTGTGATATTGAGATTTCACACAAGTGAATATATTAGTAGTGCCGATGTGCTTGATAAAATTCGCTAAAATTTCTTGGCTCTTTCTGGTAGCTGCCATACAACTTCAATAGTAGTTTGGCACAACCAGTATTTTGAAAAACACATAGTACTGAAATTTTGCATAAATTAATATGGTAATACGGCAACTTAAAGTCATAGTCTGTCCCATACTCAGTTATGCAATTTTTATTCGCACATAGGATAACAAATTCGTACGGGTATCACAGAGTTGACAAGGTCAACTCTACTTTTTTTCTCGTTTTAGAATAAAATATTCATATATGTATGTTACATGTACAATTTATTTAAAAAACCGCAAATCAAATGTGTATGTATGTAACGTATAACAAATCAAATAATTTGTATTTGATTATTTATTAGTTTCCTCAAAATAAGAAAAACATTCTTATACTCAAAAAAAAGATTAAAAAAATTTTACTCTATAATGTCGCATTTTCAAACTTCAAAACTATGCAGTAAACTTTGTTTTGACCACGATAAATTATAATCTAATGCAAAAAAATTATTAATTTATTTTTCTTTCAATTAACTTTCAGAAACTCATATCTCAGTAATGCTACAACTTTTGGCTCAGATCTATCTTCCGATCACGGAACTCTAAATAATGAACTCTATGACAATAGTTTAAGAAAAGAAGAAAGTAATAGAGTTAGTAACGCGATGAATTTTTTTAAAGCGATACAAACTAAATCAAAAATTTTATCAACACAGAATTCAGAAAATTATCCTGGCTCGTCTTTGACAATGCCTTCTCAAGTCACATTAAATTATAGCAATTACAGTGATGTTGAAAGTGATGCTGATCCAGATATATCTGGTTTTGATAACGTTTATTTATTTGGTAACAGTAAAAGGGATGTGCAACGTTCAAAGCAAAAAAAGAGAGGAGATCGGCGTAGTAACTCATTTACAAATTATGGAAGAAGGCATTCCGCTGGTGACAGAGAATCATTGAAAAGATGTTCTTCTGCAGATTTACTTATGAATATGGTTACCCTTTCACTTACATAATGGTTAACCGTCACTCACTTCTAAAACTATTTTCCATAATTCGTTAGAAAAAAAATAAATACGTTCTTCTTCTTTTTCGAAACAATTTTTTTTTAAATGAATCAAAAGCTAATCATAAAAATTTTAATTAACAAGTTCTTTCAGTTTATTTTATAACTATTTAAGATAATGGGGCTTGTTCTGATTATCGAATCAGTAAGCTAGGCTGATATTTAGCCTATTGGTTTGTATTCGCAATAAGAAATATCGAAATTTTACGATAATTGTCACTCTCACATATAGATTTGATACTCAGAATAAGATCCAATTTTCTACTAAATATAATAAGCATATGTACATGCATACATACTTATAAATAAAATGATGAACTTTTTTGATTAATACGATTATTGCAAGTTGGTCGTTCCTCAGTACACCAAATGGGCCCAACTAACGCTGGTCATGAATTCCAACACGACACAATGTGCGCATTATAAGTCCCAATTGACATTGCCAACGGAATTGATTATTATGTTAGTTTTTTTTTGATACATAGTGATTTTTATATGTGAAATAAATGACGACGAAAACAAGTTATTTTAAATAAAATTTGTTAGTGAAAGTAGTTTAATAATTTTTTTTGTAGTATAGAAGAACTTTGGAATAAGGGGATGACAATATTATTTATGACAACAAATTAAAGTGTGACAATCAATTATCAATTAATGAACTAGAAAAGCGGAAATTTAGTGTTCAATGGAATTCGATGGTGAATGAAATTAGAAATAGTTTTTTATTTGTGAAAATTGCAAAATTGCAAAAAATTGTTATTTTGCAAAATCAAGCAAATGGCGTGATTAACATATTCGCCAAATCTTTCACATACTGGGAAACGGTCATTCATGTAAATGTTTTATCTACTAAAAAATTTTGCTTAAAATATGTCAGAATGAACTAAAAGCATGTGTTTAAATTGAGAATTTATAATAAATTGGCATCTCAATTTAATTATCACACTCACCCATATTCTATTTGTTGCAGCATTTGACGTGATTGTTTGTTATTTAAAAATCTTGTAATTTTCTGAATAAAATAAATTCCGAAATTCGAAATTCTGTATTTAAAACAAAATTCTTGTTAATAATACCAAATTCTCATCCCATCACTTCAAGTAATGCAACTATCAGAATATGTTTGATTAATGTAATTGTCTAAGTTGTTTTTGATAATACTAAATATTTGAAAATAGAAAATAAATATGAGATTAAGAATAATAAAAGCTATAAAATTTTAATAAAAAATTATATTTTTAATTTATTGTAAAATTTACTAATTTGCAGGTTTACGATTACTAAGTTGAATGCATTTCATTTTGTTGCTCTTTGCATATGCGATAAAATATACCATTTATTCTGAGTCTGATAAAATTTGTATAATTTAACTCCGTTTGATATTATACTCTGACTGGCGGCAAATAATAGGAATTACTCTATTCTTATCAAATTTTTTAAAAATAAAATTGCGAAAGTTTCATTGCGAGCTGATTTTTATTTTGATTATCATTTTCGTAGCAAATTGTTTAAGTTTGAGCTAAAGTCTGAAATAGTTTTAGTCTGATATGTTAACAGTTATTACGACTTACTTTAGCTTCCTACGTTCTCGCCTATAATATCCATGTTCCAAGTATAATACTGAAGATATTCCTAAGAGAATTGGAAAAGCCATCCAAAACAATTGCAACACTGGGTACTGTCGCTGCACAAGGGCAAGCTCGATTTTCCCTGGTTAGGCAAGTGATATTTTATTTGGAAGTGCCCAGCAAATAAATTCGAACAAAGTTAGCAAGTAAATTATTTTAATGTAATATAAATATACACTTTCATCTTGATAAATCTTCATCATAAAAATGACAAATAAAGAGCATTTTGAGGCGTAATGAGTTTTATAGAAGAAAATTGCTTGCAGCCAAAAATTTCAAAGCGGGTATGATTATATATATATTATACATATGTATCTAATTTTAATTTTGTAATAACCGAATCATATTAATTTTGAAAAAATCGAATCATATTAATCGAAAAAAATGCAATCAATCATATTTGTAATGACTACAATTAAAGCAACTTATGTATAAAGTTACTAATAATGGAGTTGGATATAAGGCAACACTTCCTGTTATTTCAAAGTTTTTAAAATTTTCCAACAAAATGCAACAACCCCAATTTTACAATTTTAAAATTGGATATCAGCAAAACTTTTACCAAATTTTTTTTTTCAAAGAAGAAGGATGGCTACCTGCCTTTTTTCTCCGACAGTAGGTGAGCGAGACTCATATCCTAAAAAATTACCTAATCTCTGAACGTATAAAACTGGTTCTACAGACCAACTTTTACCTCTGCGCTAACTTTGTCTTTCCGTACGGAATCATACTTTCCATAAGGAAATTGGCATTTTGTGTTTGATCGAAAGGTCTTGTTTGTTTGAGCTTTTCTGCCATAACGCCATTGTCTAGCAGCTGAGCTGCTTGCATGTTTATATGCCCTTCTAGACGAGCATTTGTTTCATTAAACTTCATTTCCCAACCTTTCGTCCATTTTTTGTCGAATTGTCAGTGTTTGATCCTACTGGCAATATAGCAGTATTGCCAGCAAAAGTGGCTAACGTAGCGTTTTCAATTTGTGGTAGATTACTTCTGTAAAGCAAGTACAACGTTGGGTCCAATATACTGCCTTGAGGTACACCTGTTCTTATTTCTCTTAGCGTGGAATATTCAGCGTCTTGTTTAATTCTAAATAATATATCAGCTAAGTAAGATTCCAAAATTGTTCCAAATGGTGATGCTACTATTTGTTCTAACTTAAAATAAGGCCTTTGCATATTACCTTGTCGAATTCCTGAATTATATAAGAGCAGATTTCTATATTTTCTAAGTTTTTTTCTATAATATTCGTTATTCTATGGATTCGTTATTCTATGGAATGGTTTCTTCTAAATCCAAATTGATGGTTTGGTATGAGGTCCCTATTTTCTATTATTTGTTTCAATCTCCTTAATACCAGCTTTTTAAAAGGTTCAGGTATCATTGGTAACAGTGAAATGGGCCTGTAAAACTTTGTTTCCCTCAAGGATTTCCCGGGTTTGGGCACCATAATTACTTCTACCACTCTGCAAGCACAAGGAACATACATTAAATCTATAGCTGCATTCATGATTTCCATCAAATATTTCAGTACCTTGTCTGGATTGAACTTCAGGGATCTTACCTCTTCCGCAATATCTAATTCAGTAAGTGGAGCTATGCTGCTTGCTTCCGTTTGATGTAAAGTATTTGGTACTTTATTTATTGCTCCTCGCCAAACCTCCATTTGCTTTTATCAGTGGCGGAGCGTGCTTAATTGGTCCTGTTTTGCTCTTTAACGTTCCATATGGAATAATTCATTTCCTTCGTTTCCGACAAGTTCTTGATATAATTTTCGTATTTTGCCGATTTAAATTCTTGAATTTTTCTTTTAAGCACCTGGAAAAGTTTGCTTAAAACAGTTTTATCACCAGTTGTTTCTTTAGGATAGCTATTTGCTGTCGGTTTGTACTTTGACATTTTTGTATTGTTCTATGCAGCTTTTTGTATAATTTCAATATATTCTTTTAACTCAAGAGTAATCGTTCTCTTGATTGTGTACTAATATTTACGTCAATATTTTTTATTATTCGTATTTGAAACTCGCCCAATCTGTAGTACTATTTGACAAACTGGGCTTAAATAATATTCTAGTTGTTTTTTCACTTAGTTTTAATTGGTCATTATTCAACATATTGATCAACATTAGGGTCAACATAGGTATTTTTTCTTCTTTTAATATCTTAACTATGTGGGACTAGTTTTTAGCACTTTTCCAAAAAATTTTTTGAAAAAAGTGCTTATTAGTTTCACTCTGTCCGTCCGTCCGTCCGTCCGTCCGTCCGTCCGTCTGTCCGTGTGTCTGTTTACAAAACTTCTACAACTTTGAAGATAGAAAGCTGAAATTTAATACGTACATAGATCTTCACTAGAAACTTATTTCCGTAGAACAAAATTTTTACCTATCTCCCCCCCTCTAGAAGTTATACCCCCCCAAAACCCTAAAAATGGCCTTTTTTAAATATTTGTTGCAATGAAACCATAAGTGGAAAGCAGAAAGGCACTGGCTTGCTTCCCCTTGCGCGGTATACTATAGTTCAACTTAAGAAAAACAAAATGGCCGCTCAAATTTACCGTTATTTAAAGTCTTTTTTTTCCAAATTTTTGATGTCGTTTTTCTTCTAGACCCCAGCCTGTAGAAGCTTGAAATTTTAGGAGCTTTTAGATATTAATAAATAGTTCATTTTGTTAGAAGAAAATTTTTTTCCATCTCCACCCCCTCTCAAGTTATCACCTCTTGAAATTCGTAAAATTTGAATTTTTGACACCTTATATTTCCGAAACCGCAAGCTTTTCCAAATTTTTATGAACGCAAGAAGCTAACGGTAAATCCCATGAAATTAAAAAATATAATTATTTTTCTTAACTCACACAATTAACCCTTAAAATCGAGCATTATGTTAACCCCTTTTTATATTAATTTTTGCTTTATTTCAAAGACTGCATATATGCGTCATCCTAAATATATGCAATCCTAGAAATAGTTTTGTATATGAATGAAAACAATTTTAATAGTGTGATAGCTATACATAGACTGTATTTAAAAGCAGAATTTTCACTTGTTGAAGGGAAAAGTGATACAATACAAACCATTGGTTTGACCCAACTTTATTTATGTTACTCTAGTAGCCGGAGGAGGCTTGTGCTTCTTTGGATTTTCAGCCTTCATTTTAGGGCTAGTTTCATTATTTTTTTTAACAGTCCTCTCTGATTTTGTTTTAGGAGACTTTTAAATTTTTCACTTCCTTGCATTATTCTGTTTTAGGATCCAGTCATTTTCTCTAGCACGTTCTTCCTCGTCGGTTTTATATACAATAACTTTCGCATCTTTGTTCTTCTTTTCTGTTGATATAGATGTTATTTGATTTTTTAAATTTGCTTTCTCTGCTTGTAATTAGCGGATCTCGTTTTGTAGCACCTTACCAAGACTCTCTAAATCGGTTATTCTTGAGTCCTTAGTATCGAATTTACTCTTCTGTTTAAGACCGTTTCTCATATTACCCTCTTGGGTTTTGATTTTTTGTCTTCTGCAGAGTTTTTGGACTTTTTCTGAGAATTATCATCATTAACTCTGTCATTTTTGTCGGCAATCACCAAGGCGATATTCTCATGACCCCTAAATATCATGACTAAATGGGTCGCCGATCTACTATGCAATAAGTGGATCAAGAATCCAAGAGACCAGCTTTCGAATGGAGTGGGTTTTCCAGCATTACTGGATTACCACCTGGGGTATACAATCCTTGTGTTTTGTTCATTACATGTGTTTTGTTTTATTTCGAAGTTTTCTTCTACTAGCCTTTGAGAATAATTCACTCGTGCAAGGTAGTACGTATAATTTCTGGGGAGAGCCATTTATTGCAATTGATTAATAGGTTCTGGAGGAACGCGAAAACCCGGCCTTCACCACCTACATCTGATGTGCGGATTTTAGAAAAGAATAAAAATATGGAAGGTACTAATCAGAAATTTAGAGTGGCTGCGTTATATTGTCACCCTAGATTTAAAATTACGGCAGAAATGTTTCAAGGCGTTCTGACAGACCAAGGAGATAGATTTATATTGAGTGGTGACTTTAACGCCAAGCATACTGATTGGGGTTCAAGGCATACTTCAACTAGAGGAAGAGAATTTAGGACAGCAATTGGCGGCACGGGGTGCCTTTTTCACTCTACTGCGAAGCCAAAGTATTGGCCAACCAATGTTAATAAGTGTCCAGATTTAATAGATTTCTTCGTAACAAAACGGATTTCGAAAAATTTTATCGAGCTACATGATAAGATTAACTACAGATTGGTCAAAATTTCGCTTAGAGATTGAACGCAAATAGATCTAAGGAAAAGAATAAGAACGACCCAGCACATAGATGAGAAGGCCGAAAAGTTTACTAAAATTATTCAAAATGCGGCAACTAGGTCGCTATATTAGAAAATACAAAGAGGATTCGGTTGCCAATTATGTTCAAAATTTGACGGCGTGTGAGAAAACCAATTACTCACTGTGGAGGGCAAGAAAGAAAATGAAGCAACCTATCAAACATCTCACTCCTATTAAAACAAAAATGGAACGTGGGCAAAAACTGACAAGGACAAGGCAA